TAGAACTAATGAAAAACAATAGTTTTTATCGGTTATATTTTTAAAAAATATTTAAAACTTAAGATTTTATAGATTTCATAAAAATACATGATTTTTGATGAGAAGTGACTTGGAGCACCATACTATTAGATGTATCTTGATAAGCTTTACAACTTTTATTATAAGCCCAAGAGTGATTTACTTAGTAAGAAAAAAGTTTTAAATATAATCTCTCCACATTTACTAATTGAAGAATTTATATATAAATCTTGTATAATCTGTATCACATAGCTCTCCAGATGACTAGTGAATCATCTATTAATTCTATTAGTTTATAAAATTAAAAACAAACAAATTTATCAAATTTGCTTAAATTGTTAAGATATCTTGTTTAAAGTTAAAATTTTTTATTTACACTTTTATTTCAAACTTTAAATAAAATATTTATCAAAGTAAATTCGATAAACTTTTTTTTTTATTCTATAGTTATATAAATTAAAATAAAAAAATTTATTAAATTTGCTTTAATAGTTAATAAGATATTTTTGTTTAAAATTTTAATACAGGTTACTTCTATTAATATTAATCTCATTAATATCAATCTAAGCCACAAAACAAAATTTTATAAATTTTTATATATCAAAACTCTTTTATATATATCAACTTTAATATGATTTCTCATTAATATCACTATCAACATGATTTAAAACCAATTCAAATAGGTTGAGATTAACAAGAATAACCTGTACTTATATTGATCATTTGCTATGCCAACAATGGATCTTACTCAGGTACACTAACAAAATTTCATAATTATGTGATTACTAAAAAAAACTTTTATGTTAAGGTTAATTACTCAAGAAATTTTTTTTTATTAGTGTACAAAAGACAGTTTTTTATATAAATTTTTAGAAAATAAGCGATTTTTGACAAAACTGATATTTGTTTTAGATCTTTGTAATTGTGTTATATTGCACTAAATTATAATTAATTATTGGCTAATTTGATATAGATTATTATATAACTGTGAAATCTTGTTAGCACACTAGAGGTAGTTTCGACAACAATATCTAACAACGGAGATAAATCACATATATACTGTGTCAGAAAGAAACAGAAATAGAATTACATCAAAAAGGTCTTAGAGTAGTTCTTGTTGAAGCAGGTTTACTTTCTATGATTGATATATTATTAGAAGCTAAACAAAGTATACAATATCCGCAACCACATTTCCAACCAGAAGTAGCAGAAGAACAATAATTCATTAATCAATTACTTATTTGAAGAATGAGATCTTGTTGAAGGTAATTCTAAACATTATTGAGAATGAGAATGATATACAGTAGCCATCAAAAGTAATGCCCGATTTATAAGATAAAAATAAAATTTTTATTTATTTTATTTTTTTATTACAAAATATTAAAAATTTTTTTTTTTTATTTAATATCTGCATGAACGACCCTCTGCAGCAGCTATTTTCTTGATTCTTCGTGGCACTGAGTCCACAACCACCTGAAATACCAACTTATCTACCCTCACCCACTCCTCCTTCAAGGCTATTTTAAGCTGATCTGCATCTCTTGGAAAGTTTTCATGACTCTGAATATTGTCTTTTACAATCTTCCAGATATTTTCTATTAGATTTAGATCCAGAGATTAGGACGGCTACTTCATATATTTGATTTTTTTTGCTTCAAGCCAATTTGTCAACTTATGAATAGGGGCATTGTCCTGCTGAAAAATTGGATTCGATCCAGTTAACAAACACACAGCCACAACAAACAGTACGAGGTGATCGTCTAGAACCTTGGTGTAAATTTTTTTACTAATTTTTTGTTTGGAAGCTTTGTATTCATCAAAAAAAACTATGGGACCTTTGATTTCATCAGCGAAGTATGACCACACCATCACTAAAACTCTTCTACTCTTAAAACTCGGAACCAAACATTCATGTTTATACCGTTTATCTGCATAATGCTATACTCGAATCTGGCACAATTGTTTGCCAACTTCTACACTTATTTCGTCAGAAAAAATGATATTCTGCCACTCATAAATACTTCTGTTCTTATTTTTTCACACCAATCTATATGTCCATTTATATTGTCTTCTGTTAAAAAAGGTTTTACAGCAGCAATACGAAAATGAACTCCGAAGTCATGGAGGGCCCTAGCTGCCGTCGACACACTGCATTGAAGGTTCAAATTCTTTACAATTCTGCACAGAGGCTCACGTCTTTCTTTCAAAGCTTTTTTTAATATGGCCTTCTTTTCTTGCTTCTTTAGGGCGGGGGGACATCCAGACCTAGGTAAATTTTCAGTTTTTTTGGTCTTTTTGTACTTATTCAAGAACCTCCTAACTGTTGTGGGGTCACGACCAATTCATTTAGCAACCTTCTTAGCACTTATTAATTTAATAAAAGCAAGGATCATTTCTTTCTCTTTTTCTGTCATTTGGGTTCGTGGCATTATCAAAAGAATATTGGTTTTTTTTTTAAAAGCTAGATATTTAGACGTCAAAGAAGTAAAAAAAAACAAAAAATTGCCCCAAATTACATAAGTATGGGTAAACACAACCGTTTTATTTGCTCATGTGAGATGATCTGCAAATCAGGTATTACTTTTGATGGCTACTATACATTATCATTATTTGGTTTTTTTTGTAAAGCTATTTGAGCCTCATGAATTAATGTTTGTAAAGAAGTACATATTCGATAATAAGAATCATTTGTATTATTTGTATCATCAGTTTGTTTAAGGGTAGAAGATACTGTAGATTATTTTTCATATGATATGATAAAAATTTTTAAAAATTCAATTAATTTTTATTATAATTTTATAATTTTATAGATTAAAATATGCTCTTTCTAATAATATAAATTTTAATAACCAAATTATTTTAATAAACTATACTTGTATATATCATGAAGTTGCTGTGGTACCTCAAATTTGCTGGGGTTATACAAAATCGTTAATTTTAATTGGTTATATCATATGATCATCATATGATTTTTGTAAACAAAAAATCAATACTCAATCTTTAAATACATATTTCTTAGCAAATATCTAACCAATTTTAATAATTTTACTACCATTAGAATCAGAAGAATCTATTCTACAAATTTTATTATAAATTTTAAAATAACTTACTTAATAAATTTTTTTTAATTATAAAAAAAAAATTTTTGCCAACATGATCATATGAAAATTGATTTATGTATCCTCTACCTTTAAATTCCAAGAATTTATCATTAGAGTCACTAGCTTCATAAGTTTCATAATCATAATTATCAATCATCATTTCATCTGAAGAAAATATTCTCACATCAGGTATCGGGTTAAATATATCGGAATCACTATAATCCTGATTTATTTTCTCAACAACAGTAGTACAACTCTGATCTTTTTTTTTTAAAAAAATGAAATAAATGAAATTTGTTAAAATAAATTCGTATTAAGTAATATAAAAAAAACTTGTTTGTTCAGTTCTATTTGTATAAAAATTTCAATAATCAGAAATAGACATGAACATAGACAGGAAGAAAGTAAATATAATTACAATCTTAAACGTGATTCAAGTTCAGTAATTAATTCTCTTGTTTGTTTTAGTTCGGATCGCAATTGCTGTATTAATTCATCTACAGGTAACTATATTGAAAATATTATGTACATCAGCATATATTTTTAAATATAAGATTTGATAGATAGCAAATCGAAGGTAGTTATGCTTACACAATTATTTCCACGATCAGTTAATAAATTATCATTTTCAATAATATTTTCTACAATGTTTTCATTAACTACTTTATTTAGTCCATTACATTGTAAGTCAATATTATTGATATTTTTTTTATTATACATGAGAGAAGTCGACAAAATTTCTTTTCTACAATAAGTTTTTTGATTACTTGACATCTTACATTCAGAAATTTCTATTGTATCTTAGGTGTCTTTATAAATGAAGTTATAGTTGGAATGGCCGGCAATCCCTAAATGTTTTTAAACTCATTAAATCGACTCTTATACAGTAATGAATAGAAGCAAGCTTTGATCTTTTCCAGAATTAGGAGTTTTTTTTTTAAAAAAAATTTTAGAATTTGAAGAATCTAAAAATACATCCAAGAATCAAAGTTCTTTCGATCGGATGGTCACAAGGTAAAGAATGTAAGAAAAAAAGGTAGTTGTTTTTGGTGAAGAAAAGTTATTTTTTTTGTGTTTAATAAGAATTTTTTATCATATCATTATTCAAAACGGACGAACGGAGCAAAAAAAAAAAAAAACCGAAAAAAAAACGTAACAAACAGTATTAAGAAATGATATGGGTTTTAAAAAAAAAACCACCAACAACGCCAAAGAAACGAAGGAGTAAATGCTTGATCCTATATAAATAGAAAAAAAATTAAGATGATTAATTAATCTAGAAAGATTTTGATCCGAATAAACCGAAAGGGTAACATGAAATTAACAAAAAGAATTTTTTTTTTTATGCTCGAAAAAAAAAATTAAGATGATTAATTAATCTAGAAGATTTTGATCCGAATAAACCGAAAGGGTAACATAAAATTAACAAAAAGAATTTTTTTT